GTACAAAGTAAAACTTAACTGTATAAAACACAAAAAAAAAACAATTTAGAGCATTGAATAAAGTTCTATACACATCAAATTTCCTGTGATAAATAAATATGATATGCCCATATTTGGGTGTATTACAACATCATCATGCCCATATATGTACACATCACACAACTTGCAGTGAGACACAGATATAAAAACAAAAGGAAAAAAATAAATCAGAATTTTTTCTGCTGATTTTCAGGCAATTTACAACAAAAATCCTTAAATATTGTTTGAAGCTTTTGCATGGCGAAGTAATAATATATTAAATGCTTGCAGTACACAATATGCGACCATTCCATGGTAAAACAATGTGACTGCATGAAAATATAACAGCAGTTACGTTGTGTTTGTTGTGAATGTTTGGACGTTTCAATTGAGTCAATTCAATCATCATCAGATGAGAGCAGCTTAGCTCAGTCGGCTAAACTGGTGGTGGCCACTGTGTGTGCGCTGAACCGTGGATATCTCTTGGTTCCCAGTTCAGTTCCCATCGCTGCTCTCCTGGTATTTCAGCTAGAGGGCTGAAACGCAAGTTATGAAAGCGCACCATCTATCGCATGAGGTGTTTAAGCCGTCGGTCCTGTTTGCACTAGGGCCAATATGTACGTTAAAGAACGCAGTACAATCTTCGGAAAAGAGTAGGGGATTGTCTCCTGGTGTACTGCCCAATCACCACCAGAGACCCCACTGGAAATACACCGAATAAATCCAATCCAATCCAATCAGGAGAACAATATCCTTATAGAATATGAAGAACAAGGGTATTAATTTTTTAGGAAATTATTTTGTTTTTCTTATGTTCGGGTTGAAGTTGACATTAGGTGCTACCGCATTTATTATCATTACTATATTGTGATGGCACGCGGGCTGTTATGTCCACGGCTCTGCCAGGTAAGACTAGCAGACATGCCTCTACTGTAGATTTAAAGAGTCACACTTGGAATTAATACTGTCAAATTTTGGTGTGTGATCTTTTGGCTATTGCATTTAACTATCAAATCTTATTCAATAAAAATTATGAATATGCACATCGATTAAAAAAATAATGACTAGACGAAAAATTTGACCTAAAGTCAAATATATATCAATGTTTAAACAATGATACGCAGGCGTATGAACTGGTACATATTTACTGGTACATATGTACCGGTACATATCTACTGGTACGTATCTACTAATACGTATCTACTGTTATGCGACTTTAATTTGTTTCCTCCTGTAGATTGTGGGATCACACAACATGCTAGGAACGAGCAACAGAAAGGTTGATGAACTAGAGTTTGATGTCAGCTCATTTAAAAACATCGTCCACTTACAGGTTAGAATTTTTTTGCGGTCAGAATTTGAATTTGTTCTCTGGTAAGAGAAATATTATAAGTGGTTTTGATGTTAATACTAAAGCTTTGTCCAGATTATCAAATTTTCTTTGATGAAAAACTTTTGCCCATATATAGACATGATGTGCCTATGTATGGTCATGAGTTGATGTCATCAAGACCATATTTAGGCATGTCACAATCACGTTGATTAGTCTGAACAGGGCTAATATTGTTGGCAACTATATAGGTTATGAAATTTGCTTTGATAATGATGATTGCGACGATGAGAGCTATTTGCTGATAGCACTTGACTTGTGCATTTTATACATTTTTGTTAAATTTGCAGATTGATATTTGTGACCTGGTAAAAATTTCTGGATTGGAAGTTTTAAAAAAAACCTTGCAGACAATATGTGTTCATAAATCAGCAGCTACCATTAAGGTAAGGCAACATTCGCTGAAGGAGTGGTTGATCACTTCCTGTAGTTTACACATTCTTATGTTCAAATTATGTGTACTGTCCATAAAAGAACTAAATTGATCACTTCCTGCAGTTCACACCTCCTTATAGTCAAAGCAGGCATCTAGTCCAATAACAAACTAAATTGATCACTTCCTTTGTTATTTTATTCTTCCTCCAATGCAGGACATTCTGTTGCCATCAGTCAAGGACTGGGCTTCACCAGATGACACATTACAAGATGGTTGTACAACAGCCTATGTTCCAGCTTGGAAGTGTATAACTACAGCAGATTTCAGTTGCAATGGTCTAACCACCATCGATGAAACTGTGGTAATATGACTTTTTTGTGCAGTGCCATTCATTTTTTGGGTCCGTTCAAGGCGGACCCCAGAATCTCACTGCTGTTTTTTTTTTTTGTTTTGTTATTACCAAACTTTAAAAGCATCCAGTGTTGCCAATTTTGAAAGAACATACAGGAAAGGACGTCCACTGTTTTGTTTCTTTTATCACTTTTCTTTATTTGTGTCAATTTTCTACTGCTTTCTTTTCAGTTTCAACCATTTATTCTGGTTTTGTTCTTTACTGTTGTCCTGAAAAGCACAGAGATGAATGTTATATTATGCACTATAAAAGTGCACAACCATTGACCACAATAAATATTGTAGAAGTAGAAGGCGGAAAAAACAAAGTGTTTTTCAAAGATAATTTGATTGGGACACATTATAAATATTTATCGTACAATGTACTTAATGAAAATTTTTTACCTGACTTTCATTAATGCATTCAATTGATTGGTTATTCATTTTGTTTATAGATGTATTGAATTATTCAAAATTGATTAAATCATGTTTTCATATAGAAACTGATGCCAAAGGTCGAATACTTATTCATTAGCAAAAACAAGATCACAGAGGTATCAAACTTGGAGCACCTTAGCTGTCTGACTTACCTGGATTTATCATTTAATGAAATCAAGAAAATGGATTGTCTTCACTCTAGGCTCGGCAACATCAAAACACTAAGGTTGGCAGGAAATATGTTGGAGTCGTTAAAGGGAATGTCTAAGATGTATTCCCTTGTTGAGCTGGACGTCAGCAGGAACCACCTGGAAAATGTTAGTAGAAAGTGTTTTTCTTTTTGTGTGTTCATATAATCAGGATTGAATATAGTGGAATAACAGGAGAATAGCAAGGTGTGTGTCATCTTTTTAGAATTTTACCAGAAAACTCCTAAGGATGCAGTTGCATATCTAGAAGACCTGAAGTGGGGGTGCTCATGGGTGGGTGGTTGCGAAGGTGAAGTGGGAGTCTTGATGATCAGTTGACATGTGCTAACTTGCAAAATAAGGTAATTTTAGGTGACTTAACTACTCGACCATGATTTTTTATCGTGTAAACGTGCGACTGGAGATCATCGGTGTTACGTATCTGATAGCAAACGGCTGTGTAAACAAGGCTATTATTGTCTCTCTTGTCAGATTGTTGAAGTTGGTCATATTAGCAACCTGCCGTGTTTGGAGGTGTTGCAGATGTTTGGCAACCCGGTGACAACCATTCAAGATTACCGAACGAAAGTGTTTGAAGTATTTGTGAATAGAGTGTCTGAGCTCAATCTGGATGGAAAGAAAGCATCAGAGAAAGAAAGGGTGTGTAATTAAAAATAGTATATTTGAAGAATTGTAATCGGACAATAATAATACAATTTTAATAATTTATATTTAATGATGCAATAAATTAATTTGCTTCAGTGAATTATTTATATTATTGAGAAAAAAAAAATTAATACAGAGAATAAAACATGTTTAATTCCAAAGGTTTATAGGTCAATACCGTCCACTGGATAAAAAAATATTTACTTAACAATAAAAAATATATAAGGAAATGCATGTGAATAAGTTTTGAAAAAAAAAATGAAATGTGCATTTGATTGAATAATCTCACTTAGATTGAAATTCAACATTGAAGGATCTGATATACTGTAATATTGAGTTTTTGAACTTAGGCTCCTAACAGAAACCCCTCATAATAGTTATGCAGTTGAGGATGTTTTAATTATAAAGACCTGTTTACAGAGAGAATGACAGCGGCACGCGACAACGGCAGAAACAATAGAACCCATTATTTTCTTTATATTAATCCACACCGAATGCAATGCAACTACATGACAGAACAACATGTCGCTCAGCATTGAATCATTTTCTATTTCCAAAAAAGTTGTGCGATATTATGACCATATTCTGACCAATTACTGCCTCTAGTCTTCCTTCGCTGAGTATGTTGACTGTAGAACAAGCCGCAAGTTGCTTGCATCACAGCTGTAGTCGCACGCTGTGTAAATATGTTGCACTGGGTGACAGAATATTTCTGTCGCTGTTGCGAGCCACTGTCACGCTCTGTGTAAATAGGCCTTAAGGCAATTTGATTCCCTTTTTACTTGTAGGATACTGTGGCTGTTCTGATGGCTATTCAAAAATCCAAAGATCATAAAGAAAAATTGACACGACAGACACATTCACCTCACAAGAAGGTAAGTTAGCACCAAACATCACCTTGTTTTACTCACCTCCAACAATAATAAGGATTTTATTGTATTTCACATTCTTTCATTCATGTAAGCATTTATTTCTTTTTTTGTTCATAGGTATGGTTAACAAAGTAAATATTTAAATAAATTAAATATGATGCTAAGTTAGTTGACCGTAAAGTAATATATAATAAAGTAATTGAAAGAGGCAATGCCTGAAAATAAATTGTACGTTTGTACATCGTTTCAAACAGGCTGGTGTACTAAAACCCTGTCCAAAACAAAAACATGTGACATGCCTAAATATGGTGATGTTGACATCACATCATGACCATATATAGGCACATCAATAATATATGGGCATACGATAATAGTCTCCAGGGATGGTGGCCATCCCCATAAAAATTTATTTAAAAAAAATTATTTATGAAAAAGGGGATTTCCAATATGGCCACCCCAAGGTCTGTCTCTTATACACATCTAGATGTGTATAAGAGACCCATCATGATCTACTAAATTGAAATCTGAATATACTCTGCACTGTAAATTTTGTCTGCATGTTTATTTTGGTGAGACCACATGTTTTTTTTACAAAAATGTAGAAGGTTACTGCACAGTAGAGAATTCCCTGTTAAGTCTTTTTTTCTACTAGGTGAATTTATTCACGCGAATCGAAAGTGTCAGTTCATGCACATGCGCATTCATATTTCTAACAGAGTTTTTGCCAAGTAAAAAAAATGCGCAACCAATCAGAGCTAAGGAAGCGATCCGACGCTTTGATTCGTGTGACTAAATTCTCCTAGTGGAGAACAGGCTTTATAGTGACCGATATGTTTTTGCTGGTATTAAAAGGAGCACTTAGTACATGGGAGCCCATTATATTCTGATAAAAGAACATTGTGCAAATATGTGATCATTTTGACCAATGGCCTGAGTAATAAGATGCAACACACTTTCAGACATAACTAAACTCTTGGAATTAAAAAACTGGAACATTTCACATACATATATATGATTTGCTTATTTTATAATGGTGTCAACCTAAATTTGGTCATCAGTATATACACCCTAAACATTGTTGCACCATTTTGTTTTGATAGGAAGGATCTGCTGATGATGATGAACAATCAAGTGTGAGAATATCATCTTTTCATGTTTAACACATCTAATAAAGTTCACATTAAATACTTTTTAATTTATTAAATGCTTTTTTTTTCATCCAAGGGTTCTTATTCCAAAAGTATTCTGTTTTGTTGGCAATAACTTATTCCTATCTTGAGCTTGGTTTCCATACAATCGCTACACGCTACTGCCGACAGCTTTCGGTGATGCTGATTGGTCGGTCAACTCTGGGAGCCTTCCTGATTGCGTTGGGGGACTCATATACAGTACAACGATTGTTCTGAAAACACTGTAGCGACATTGTAGCGTTTTTACAGAAACCAGGCTTAACACTAAACTTGCTATTACTCAGCTACCCTCATAGTCAACTACAATTTTGGTATTGTGGTATTTCTTGGGTGATATTGGTGTATGAGTATGTAATACTCACCATGTTCAAATATATGGTGTCAATTTACCTTTCATATGGTCAAAATTCATTTAATGCAAACATGGCTTTAGTTCATATAATAATGCTTACTTGCATCTGTAAGCGTAATTGTTTTTGTTGAATGAGAACTAAAAAATATATATAAATTATGCCCTGCATTCATACTCATATTTTATTTGGTTTAAATGGTTTGTGGTTTAGATAGTTATTGTTAATTATGTATTGGTGTTGTATTTCAATTTGGTTTCATATGATGTTTGTTTTAAACTTGCATTGTGTGTTGATATCAGTAGAGGTATTCAAAAATAGTGCAAAAACCATCTTCTAAAGTGCTTTTAAAACATAATGCTACATTGTACACTACACTTTGATACTTTGACACTATGTTACACTTGGACACTACTTGCTGCACCTGAATGCTACATTCATCACTATACATAGACGCTATGTTGTACTTTACACTATGTTACTCTGACACTATACTTGAACCCTAGGCAATGTTGTACCGCACTTGGAATATGCCACACTTAACCCTTTCACTGCTAGCCCCCGGTAGTACCGGGGATAGGAAAATAATTCTTTTAAAAATTGTTCCTGTACTGCAGCGCCCTCTATAGTTGTTTCTATGAACTACTGGCCATTTCTAATGAATTATATGGAGTATTGAATAATTGTTGCAAATAACTCATTTTATATTGATTTTTTTGACTAATTTTTTTCACGATTTTGCAGAAAAAATATGGATTTTTTGTCTGTTTTTGAATAGAATGATGAAAAAAAATCAAACTATTGATTTTTTATTTATTTTATGTATCTTCATTATTATCCAAGTTAAAAAAAAAATCCCATAAAAATTTATTTAAAAAAAATTATTTATGAAAAAGGGGATTTCCAATATGGCCACCCCAAGGTCACATGACCACCCAATTAAAAATTCCAATTTTAATTTTTCCCCGTAGGCCAACTTCTTTCCCACTCCAAAACACAAAAACAATTTCAAAATAACCTCTTTTAGTATTTGTTTTTGGCATTTATTTCAAAATACCCTTCTTCCAAAAAAAAGTTTAGCAGCGAAAGGGTTAAGCACTACTGTACTATGTCCTTATGCACTATGCTACACCTGGACATTAGCTTCACTCTGATATTACAGTATGACAATGCTACACTTACAACTACATTTTGCCATTTTACTACTACACTTAGACACACGGCTACACTCTGCTATTACAGTATTACAATATGCTACACTTAAAAACAACACTTTGACAGTCTTGGACATTACACTTAGACTCTATGCTACACAAATGGACACTGTCACAATTTAGTTAATACCAATTACTGCATTTTGTTTTTAAATCATTTCATTGAAATGAAATCCAGTGTCTATTAAATACCAACTACATAGATTCCAGGCATATGATTGGTTAAAAGCCGGGCAATAGTTCAAGACATGCTCGCCTAGCTGGTCAATATGCCTACATTCTATGTGGTGGTATATAAAATAGATATATATTGGGATTTTAATTGGGGTATGGTTCAATTTATAACCCTTCGTGATCTGGAGGCTGTACTATGTCCCTTGATTTGTCTTGGGATATAATACAGCCTCCACATCACCTCAGGCTATAAATTGAACCATGCCCCTCAACCCAGTAAATATTTGTATACTATTGCAATTACATTCAGAATAAATTGTTAATTTAAAATATACAAGAAGCAACAAAGCACTCATTAGTCTATTAAAAAAAGTATAAATATGCTCAAATAGCATCATTTTAAAAGAGTACAGTATCATTCCATTGAAATGAAGTACAGTATCTACCAATATTGCATGTAGAATAAAGGGTTACTTTAAAAAAAAAACAAGCAGCAACAAAGCACTTATTAATCTATTAAAAATTATAAATGTTATGCTTTTAGCGCCATTTTAGATAGCATGTTTTAAAGTAGTAAGGTTTCACCATTGATAATTCTAGAGCGCAGTATAAGTGAATGACATAATGTGTCAATTACTTATACTGCCCTCATTATAATTTGCATGGGTGTCATGTAAGTATGTCATTAGTATTTCTGCAATTTAACTATACATGTAATTGTATATGCAAAAATAGTAAATATATCATCATTTGATGTATTGCTCATTGTAATAATGTTGAAAGATTTATTTTATTATATCTGTATATCTGTATCCTTTCCCCAATTAAGTGTTTTGCAATCTAAACAAAGGTAATAAGAATTTTTGAATGCTAAAATATGCTCAATTAAATGTTTAATTTATTTAATTTTAATTTCTTCTAAACTGTTCAGTTGTTATTGTTAGATTATGTTATTGCATATACATTTTGTTTCCATTTTCAGAAAGTAAATAGAGCAACAATTATTGATCCTGACCGCAGTTCTGATTCTTCTTCACCCGGTTCAAATCAGTTCCTTGCAAGTAAGCCAAATCATTCCAACCACTGTATAAGCGCTTTTGGGCGAGCGTCGCGGAGTGTTAAGAAATGACAGAATTATAACATTTTAAAGTTTGATAGGCCCACTATTTATAATTAGGTAGGACTGCTGCGTTAATTCCTTTTTGTTTCCAATTTTTTTGCACAGGCAATGAAATTGACAACGCTGAGTATCGCTCGAAAGTAGAAGCACTGCGGAATGAAAGTGGAGAGAAATGGTTGCAAGTGTTCAACGAGCTTCAGGACTCGCCTCAGACCTCACCCAAAGCAGGTCGCAAGAGCAGGTCTCCAAAAAGAGGGCGCTCTCCAGCACGGATGCCACACAATGCTTCACCAGCAAACCCAAGAAGGTCTGTTTGTTCATTAGTCTTACATTAATAGTCCATTAATATTATTTGATTGACCTTTCCGCTAAGCCCCGCCCCTTGGATATTGTTACTAAGTGTTTGTGTTTGTGGGATAACACATGTGTTCTGATTGGTCAGTTGTTAAGTTTGATTGACATTCCAGGTTCTATTGCACTCTAGATCTGTGTAGAAAGATAAAATTCCATTCAACTTTGTAACTTTGTTTATTAGTGAATAATAAAAAACTACGAATAACGATTTTTCTCATAGTGATGTAATTAGATAATTTTATTGTCATCCTTTATCATTATTATTGTATATGTATATATGCTTTTCATATTTTCAAAGTCTAAGTTACAATTCTTATGTTTTGAATAGACAGCATTAGTCACCAGAACAAAGCTGCTCTAGTGGGTATTACATCAAAACAAACCGCTAGGAATAGACCGGAATTTGGTGAATAATTCGGTCTATTGCTAGTTATTACGATGTTGTTAATTATTATACTCTATCACTGTTAGCATAATGAGTATCTTACCATAATAATCATAATCATTTTTTTTTTTTTTTTCCCAAATTTAATTTTTACTGTTAAGCGCATTGAGGCTTTAGCATAATGCGCTATATAAGCCAAAATTATTATTATTATTATTATTACCATAATCATTTTAATTGCAATTTAGTATTACTTTTATTATTTTGTATTCCAGGGCTAATGACACCGATTGGAAGCCAACATTACAGTGGCAAAGTCAGCAAGGGAGCGAGCCATTTGTACTTAGTGCCACAACACTCGCACTTGTTATTTTTGAAGAAATTCCTCGCTATTCCGCCAGAACTTTAGTAGAGTTGAACAAAGTTTTGATGCAAATTCGTATGGAGCTTGTTGGACCGATTCTTTACACATGTGGACCACTGGAACGCAGTGCCATGAAACATGGACAGTATACAAAACCGGGAAACAACGGCCCATCGATCGCAGAATACTTACGATGCGTGCATGCTGAAGTGCAGGATGAGTATGTGAAATATATGCGTAGTTTATATCAAGGTCATAGTGAACTAAAATCTAATAAAGTGAAGGTAAATAAAGAAGTATTGGCTAATGTGTTAGCTTATTTTTTGAATGTAATAGAGGAGCGAGATTTGCAGAAAAAGTTGGAAGCTGTTGAGATGGAGAATGAAAAAGATTCAAAAGAGAGAAAGTCGAGCAGCAGCAGTACAGGGGGGTTGAATCTCGGTCCAAGCATTAAAAAACCGAACAGTCCCACAATTGTGGTGAATCCCATAGTAAAGGTTGAGGACGCTGGTTCAAGTAACAGTACTAACAATACAGAAACCGTGACCACTGATGGTCCAGGCACAGATAGAGTGCTTACAACAACAGAAAGCAAAGAAATTGATGCAACAATAAAACATTTTCCTACAACTTCGCCTTCTGTACATGCTGAAGATGCTCCGTCAGGTTTACCCAGTATCATGTACGATGAACAGACATTAGTAAGCCTAAACACATGTTATGAAGACAAGCTACATTTATCCCATCTCACTCAATGTAACAAAGTCACAGACCTACACTTGAGTCCGACATTGCAACAGATAGCATGTCTAGAAGATGAGCAAATCATTAAGTATTTCCACGAAAATGTTGCACAAATCTCAAAAGAGAAGGAATGGCTTAGCCACATTCTTTGGTCAAAGGTCATATTCTACATTCATCCCAATGACGAGCTTACATACTGCCTGTTTCTAAGCAACAAAGCACTCTACTTTGTCAGCGACCAGGGACTTCAGTTGAAACCAAAACAACATTTTAGAGGTCACAAACGCTATCAAAGCGATTCTTTTGTTGGTGTTCGTAACAGTGTCTCTGCAAATAACATAATGAACTTCTGTGCTGGACGCCCTGGATTACCTTCCTCCGCCAGTGGTGACCTCTTAAATGTCAACTCGGCTAGTTATGTGAACAGGGTGAAATGTCAGCATGTCTTACATTTCGAGAACTTGGATGAGGTAATTATGGGTTTGTTTGATCAAAAACTTCGTCTAACAGGTAGAAATGCTGGCGATACGGTAACCCTTATGACAAGAGATTTCAACAAGACTTTAAAATTTGTTGAAAAGCTCATGGAGAATTTACCCGTCCCTGAACAAATTGAAGAAGAGGATTCCCGTACCCGAAGCTTTTCAGGTGGAGATATGTACAAAGCATCACTAGATGCTCGCAAAAGCTCAGAGACTTCTGAATTTGTACACCCAAGTAAAGTCAAATTTATTTACCCTAACGACGAGACGATTACTGAATTGGCATTTTTTATTGTTGAGAAAGTGGCGAATAAGGCCCTTAATGCAGAAGAGGTGAAGGTTGTTGCATATTCTCTTCTTTTCGAGAAGCAGCAATCGCAGGAATCACCGTCAACAGAGGAGACAGAAGAAAATTCTGCGTATGAAGCCCGTACATTTGTCATAACCGATTCCCATCTAGCGTTGTGCAAGGAAGACCATGTTAGTTATCCCATTCCAAGCTATGCACGATCCATTCCAGAAAAACCGCAAATAGTAGTCACCGCAGTCCAACCAACAAGTGACTTGACAGAGATTGAACTCAATGAAGCGTTACCAAAGAATCTGACTCTCGTTTTTCATAACCCAGAGATAGTCGTGGATGTACACAAGGAACACTTCAGTACCACATCAGACGAGAATAAGAATGCTGATAGGATTCGGTGGTACTTGACAGTTCACACGTCACAGCAGCGTGATCGACTCATTAAACTTCTTCAGCAGCAGTGGCTACAAATACACGATGATAAAGAATTACCGGTCATTGGCCAGAAAAAAATTAATCATAACGAATAAGCTATGGTGATATACTTAAGTATACATATTAAGATACTACTAATATCTATTTGATAGAATTAGATTTTTTATAAATGTTGATACAATTTTTTTTTGTTTTAATGATGTTTAGTACAGTGCAATTTTTCATTTTTTGAATTTTATTCTGAATTTTAATTGTTTTTTAAGGTCAAAGGGTTCATTGTCACGCTAAAATAAAAGCCTTTTTTGTTTCAGAGTTGTTTTTTTATTTTTTATTTATTGTATTTAGAATGTATTTTAAATAACTTTTTTCCCATTTTTTATGTTATATATTTGTACCATATAAAGAAGCAGCTATTTGGTGTTGTTTACTTAAAAATAAAAACATACATTTTTAAAAGATGGTTGGACCATTTTTTGTACATAGGAAAATAGTAGATTCAAATTTTGGTCCAATATTATCCCAATGAATTTCATGAATTCTATGGTTATACTAGTGAACAAACAGACATTTTTCCTGTAAAGATTTTAAAGATAAACATTCCAGTGGAATTTTGGATTCAAAAGTACTGTCTTATTTTTTAATCTACAATTTAATTAAAGTAAACAACAAATATAAAGGTTATAATCTAATGAGGCAAAAGAAAAAAAAATTACCTTATGTGTTAGACATAGAGACACATGTGATCGGTGTCGGTTTAAACTTTTATCTATTTTTTTTATCTAAATTTTTCTTTTTATCTAAGTTCTTCTCTCCACCCAGGAGAAGAAATGGGTACCTGGGAGGGGGGGGGGGGGGGGCCTGT